TCCTTCCCTGCCATCACTACCCTAGTCCAAGCAGGTATCTCTCACCTTAATTACTGTAGATGCTTTTTCACTGGTCTTCCTCCTCCACTTTTATTTCTATACCCCAGTAAAGCTACAGTGATCTTTGTGATGCAGTTTGATTTAAAGTATTCTTTCTGGTCCTGCCTACCTGCCTTCTTTCCAGCCTTGGGTTTTGTTATTCCTACTCACCTCCAATTCTCTGTACATTTGCCATAATGGTCTTTTAATTCTCCAAAATCAGCTTGCTCCTTGTTGAGGAGCTCTGAGAAGAGTCTTCAAATATGCTATTTCCTGAAAAGGCAACCTTTCCCACTGCTACTCCAGCCAGCTCTAACCTCACCTTACCCATCCTTCAGTTTTCAACACACATTTCACTTCCTTAGGTAACTGGCCTCCTAACAGACCCTTCACCACCACCAAACACTAAGTCAGTTATTTTTCATAGAGTCTGTACCATTCCCTTCTCAACTGGTTCTGATGCTTATAGACACCCATTGTAGGTAACGAATTAATTTATTTCCTATGTCCTAAGATGATGCTAGCTATGTGCCAGTCTCAATAGAACTGAGACAATAATTACTTAAATCATTATCAGTAGGGTTCAGTTCTCTCTTGGAATCCCAGTTGAGAAAGGCTAATTGGTACTTCACTTTCATAGTACTTCAGTTTGTAATTATTTCTGTCACTATTTGTCTTTCTCCCACCAGATTGTAAGGTGTATAACAACAGGTCATGTAGCTGTTTTATTTTTATTTACTATCCAGTCTCTAATGTTTAGCACAGTGCTAACATAGTTGGTTCTCAATAAGTACTTCTTGAATGAATGACAGAACTGTTGATATCCACTGATGTATTGTGTATTAGAAAAAAAAATTGAAGCCATTGTGACAGAGTTAGCGATTATGGAGTCTAGGTGGTGAGAACATTAGTGCTCCCCACTTTTCTGTGTATATATATTTTACATGTCAAAAGAGAGAAAAGATTGGTGTTAATTCAGATACACAAAGCAGGAATAAAAGCCAGTAAACACCAAAATTATAGAGAAAGCCTTGGAAGAAAATATGTTTGATGGCATACCATAAAAGATGACTTTTACTACCATCAAGAAGTTGACATAGTCTTTCCCCTTTTCTGTTGTCCCTTGTTCAGTAAACCTTTATGTCTCTGTATTTAAAATATTGTGGTGAATCAAAATCAAATGTATTCTATAAATGAATCCTCTATTTTTAAAGTACTGATAATAGATCTTAGTTGCTAAAGTAGACATTACTAGAGCCATTTGAGATCCTGTCATTTCTAAAGCTACATAGCTCAGAACAGTGGTAATGGTCTTGCTCAATTCATAAATAGACGTTTTAGGGAAAGAACGGTTTCTTGGCCCAATAAGCTGGGGAAAGGTTTCATTTGATCATTTGATATCCCTAGCGTATTAAAGCTTCTAACAAATCTTGCATGAATGACTCTAGTATGTATTTGTTTGCCTACCTGCTTTTGTCATATGATATCATCAGACATTTAGGAAATGTAGGAAGATAACTTCAATTCAATTAAAAACAGGGTACTTATGCCTTGGTACCTACTATCACAATGTAAGAGATTTCTTAATAACATATTGTTTGAGACATGCATTGAGGAAGAGGAGGAAGGGTTGGTCAGGGCAAATCTTATGCATTTGCCCTGTAACAAAGAGTGTAAAAGAGAGGGTATACTTACTAGTTTTAAAATTCATTTAGAGAAATTAGGCTCCTGTTTGAACAAAATAATGACATTTATGAATTGCTCCTTGGTATGATACAGTTTATAAAAGTAAGAAGAACCCAAAGAAGAGGGAAGACCAGTGCTGTTTGCAGTGATCAAGCAATGCTGGGAGTGGGATGTTGAGAGTCTGGAATGCTTAAGATTATGGGTAGGAAGATGGATATGAGCCAGAAGCAAATAATTAGAAAGTATATAGAAAGTCTGAGGTTGCCAAATATTTACAAATTGATGGTTGATTCATTAAAAAACAGCATAATACTTTTCTATACTTTTTTGAAATTTTATCTTTTCATCCCTCAGTACTATTCCTTCTATAAAATACATACCTAATTCTCAGTGTGTCACAGACTATATATTATTACAGTGATACTGCCATCAGTATTACTGTTGTACTGCATAGCCAAGATTTTAATTATCTCTGCAATCTAAATTGAAATGGTAGGTGGAGCATAAGACATGAGACAAAAGCTTGATTGTATCCAGCAATGTAGGAGAAGGGTGAAAACAGATTCTCTCATTTTTCAGTTAAAATCAAATGTATTCTGTAAATGAATCCTCTATTTTTAAAGTACTGATAATAGATCTTAGTTGCTAAAGTAATGGGGGGAGGGAAGGAAGGGGGGAAATCCCTCCTACAGGAGAAAAGAAAAAATGACAAACTCTCAACACTTCTTTATGAAAACATAAAACTGCATGTAAGAATCACTACATAAAAACATCACTTAGTTGTACATTAACTGTTGGGTTGCCTGTTAGCATTCTGGTACAGTTGGAATGGCAACATAGAAAAAACTTATTAACTTTAGCTGGCCAAATAATTGTTTGATATTGTTTATACATTAGTATTAACTGTTTATTAATTGTTCTTTCACTTTTATTTTTACATCCTTAGCACCTTACAACACAGTTATTTCTTGACTTCCTGATGTCTAAGCAATTGGCATTACACAATGGGCAGCTCTTAGTGTTACATATTCTCCAACTCTTAAAGCAGAAATGGAAGAAAATACGAACTGAACGGCTATTAAGGACTATTTATTTGAATATTTTAAAAGAATAGAATATTGTTTTCAGATTTATTTAGAAAATTCAAAGTAAGGATTCAGATGAAAACATTAATATTTACATGATAAACCGATTTCTTAGAGATTTTATCTGTTCAATAAATATTTATTTAGAGCTTCCTACATAAAAGGTATTTTGACTATATAAAATGAGTCAGATACTCATCCTATTAAAAAAAAAACTGAATAGAAAGAAGACATGCCCCCGAAAATCATAATGGATAGAGAATTAGATCACTTTTAAAGGAGGAAAAGAGAGAACTTTTGACTAGAAGAATTAGAAAAGCCTTCGCAGAGGATGATAGTTGAATGGCAGTTTAAAGAATTAGTGATAATTGTACCAGCAAAGAAAGATGAAGAAGGACTTTGGAAATGATAGGAAATATTGTAATCAAAATGAAGAAGCAAGAAGGTAGAGGTCTTGTACCAGGAACAACACACAAGTCAGTTTATCAAAGTGAATACAGCCTTGTATTGTACAATCTTAGTTAAAATATAGCTATTTGTTTTACACTGTCTTGAATTACTTTTAAATTATTACATCATTAATCAGCACAGCAAATAATTTACTATTCTCCGTTTTCAGAAGTACTTCACATATATCTTATTTGCCAATTTTTTTCCTTTTTAATTTTTCAAAATTCAAAAGTTAAAGTTATATATTTTTCTTCACATCATCATTTATCTGAAAGGGCTTCAGTACCAAAATTCAGTATTTTTAATTATACATATTTTTTTTTAAAGTTCAAGATGGATCTGGATTAATAGCAGTTCATGGGTTTAAAGAAAAGAAAATAGCATCCAAAGATTAATAAGACAGAACAATTAGAAATGAGCATATTTATCCTTTAAAAACTACTTGGGAGATATGATAGCCATTTTACGTATTTGAAAGATTGTTTTTGGGAGGAAGGATGGATCACATATATTTAAGAGTAGTGCTTCTCCAACTGTAGTGTGCCTGTGAATCACCTGGAATTTGTTAATGCTGTATGAGCTGAAGATTTTGCATTTCTAACAGGTATCTAGGTGATGCTGATACTGGCTGGTCTAATAACCTCATTTTGAATAGCAAGGCTAACACATAAAATAGAAATAACAGCAAGAAGTTAGAGGAAAGCACTATCAGCTCAGATTTTAAAAAGTTACCTGTCATTTCAAGCTGTCCAATATAAAAATGTTCTGTCTTTTGAAAAAGTAGATTTCTCTTTATCTTAACTATTTGAAGAGAGTAGACAATTATCAGTGGTATCAAAGAGGGAATTATTAAATTGTTTACCTTTGATTAGGTAACAACTTAAGTCTCTTCTAGTTATAAAAATGCAATAATTCTCTAATGAACAAGAATTCTTAAAGGTAACTGTTTTATATGTAAAATTGAATAAATCTCTACTTGGGACAAGAATTCTTAAAGATAACTGTTTTATACCTTTGCAGCCTGAACTGTCTTTTCACAGGAAATTTAGTCATTAATGTCTCTAAGTTGTTTTTATTTTTTTAATTAAAAAAATTAAGATATTCAGAAAAGTTTATCTCAGTATTTATATAAAATAGAAGAAAAATTCACTTATGTATGCAGTAGTTCATATAATGCTATCTCATGAAAATCAACACATTGCTAAGGTTGGTTAGATAGTTTTTGCTATAAAATGTTAGTTTGTTAGAAATTAAATTACAGATAGTTATAAAATTTGCAATAAAGTCAAATATTTTGTTATTAAGAGCACAGTTTGAAAATACAGTAAAACTTTTTTAAAAAAAACTTTTTTTTTCAAGAGAATCAAGAAAGAGTTGAATTTGTAGTACAGATTTGCTCTGATAATTGAAACAATGCTGAGAGATACCATTGGTGGTTTTCTTATCTACCTTTAGGCAATTTAAGTCAACACCTGATCCCAATTTTAAAATAGTTTTCCCAAACACAGTAAAAATGTATTCCAGAATATAAAAGGAATAATGGCACATGTAGACAATAAGTATTCATTGTATCTAAATAAAGTTATGTAGTCAGTGATTCTCAAGCAAAGGTGAGGGTTTCCTTTCCTAGGGGGAAAATGTTTCAGAATTTCTAAGAAGAAAGGAATTGTTTTCTCAAATACTACCATCTTCCAGAAATTATTATGTGTCCTCTCCTTAGCTAGAAATAGAGTTTGAGGGTATTGACTGTTTACCACCTGAATCTTACTGAAGCAAAGGAAATGTAATGAGCCACTGAAAAGGTGTTATGTAAATTAAAATTGTAAAGCCAGTTTCAAATTTTATTCTGCTACTGATTAAAGAAAGTAAGGCACTGAGTATAGAGTTGGAATTATATGGAAAAAAAAACTTAGCGAATACATTGGATTTCATTTAAGTAGAACTCTAGTGAGCCATAAATCAAAGATTTTTAGGGAAGGTGAATGTAACAGAATAACCACTCCAAAAAAAAAGATTCCTCCAGCTGGATACACTGTCAACATTCACTGTTGATCTTGGCTAAATATCTACTATAAATCAAATATATAAAAAGGCATATATGTGTACTTTACTCACTTTTTCTTTCCTAGCAGCAACAGTCCAATAATTAATTTGTAAACATAAAAATGGCATTAAAGTATGAGGAAATCTGGATAAAAAACTGTGAGAAAATAATGTCTTACATTGTACACCAGAAGTATTATATAGGACCCTTCCTTATGTTTCTTAGCAGTTTGCTTTCAGTCTTAAATGCTATTTTCTCAGGGTTTCATACAAACTTGACCTCTCAATCCCAGATCAACTGATTTCCTAGGAGTCATTCATATGTTATAGTAGGTGAATAGAAGTATACTTCCTAAATCAGAAGATCTTGTTCTACTCTGTGTTATCAGACCAGCTGCAGTGCTGCAGTGTTCTACTGGAGGCCACGACTAGAGAGGGATACAGATAAATCGAATGTGTTCAGAGAGAAAGTGTCCAGCAAGGAGAATCCAAATGAACCAAAACATAAGACAAAGAATTTAAAGGTAGAAAAGGGCACATATTCACACTCAGGAAACAGATTGAAGGTACAGCAAGTTCGGTATCATCTGTGAAATGGAGATCCAATACTTATCCTAATCTTACATGATTTTGTGAAAATTAAATACAATAGGATATGTAATATTCCATTTATCTCTACATGGACACCTTCTGATATCATCAACCTGTCTGGCCTAATCTGAACCCAAAAGCCCCATTCCCTTTTCAGCATCCCCTTTTTGTAGTCTATCAAGAAATCCCAGCCAGACGAGGTGGCTCACGCCTGTAATCCCAACTGCTCAGGAGGCTGAGGCAGGAGAATCACTTGAACTCAGAAGGCAGAGGTTGAAGTGAGCCGAGATCATAACACTGCACTCCAGACTCCAGCCTGGGCAGAGGTTGAAGTGAGCCGAGATCATAACACTGCACTCCAGACTCCAGCCTGGGCAGAGGTTGAAGTGAGCCGAGATCATAACACTGCACTCCAGACTCCAGCCTAGGCATCAGGGCGAGACGCTGTGTAAAAAAAAAAAAAAAAAAAAGAAGAAGAAAAGAAAAGAAATCCTTTGTAAAAGGAAATTTCTAAAATTTTTATTTTGCAAATCAAATATAAATTTATGCACATTTATGTTTTGATGTGTACATAAAATTATCTCTCAGTTCAAAATTGCTTTTTAGAAAGGCAGGGAGGCGTTTTTATTACAAGGAAGTTTGGTTATGTACCCCTTTAACCTATTTCTCTAATAATAGCAAAGTATAAGCATAACTGTCATATTCATTATTATTTTAAAATTTGTAATCATTTAGAGATAGGATAGTTAGAATTTTTTCTCTTAAACTATCTGGGGAAAATAAGTAAATTAATATAATAAATATGATTGCAAGGTCAGTCTTTAGCTTGTTTGAGAGTACATGCTTTTCGGTCACTTCAGAAGCATCTACTGAAACAAAAACAAGTGAGGTATAAATTAGAAATTGAATTTATTTTTAAAAGGATTATGACACTAGTTCAGACTAATATTTCTTTGAAAATCATAAAGAGGCTATTCACTCTGTTGGTCTCTTGAACCATTATTTTGAAGTATGTTTTATGTCCTTATAGTTTGTATGTAACAATACATTTGTGATCTTTATGTTCTAAGATCTTAGAAAACACCTTAAAATCTTTGCATCTTCTGTAGTTTTATATTTATATTTAGTTGTATGAAAACACATAACCAGCTTGCTTAAAACGCTGTGTAGCTTCAAAGTAACTTTTGCTTTTTGCTATCTTTTACAAACTTATTTGTACTTCAGATAATTTTTTTTTCCTTTGAAAAGCCTTGCAGTGAGAGAATTTCTTTGTTTGGATGATCCACCGGGTCCATTTGATAGCCTAGAAGAAAGCAGGGTAAGTGCTGTATTATATAGCACATGAAAAGAGGAACAAATAATACAGTACAAAAACTACATTGTTTCTTGAATGGAATAGCAAATAGCAAAATATTATAATTTCAGGCATGGTAGTTTGCACAGAAAGCTTTTAATGTTTGAGTAAAAGGTTTCTTTCATTGAAATACATGGACTTAGTTCAATGAAAAAGTAAAAATTCATGTTGTATAGTCAATAAAGCTCTAAAATTAAATCCTACATTATTTATTTTTACTATTTCAAAAAAATAAAATGATTTGGGGACTTTTTTATATTTAATAATACTATGTGTATACTGAGTTTTCTTCCATTTGAGTGTCAAAATAAGGAACTTACAGCTAAAATCAAATTTAAAACTTCAGGGGTAGGAGTAATTGTCTTGTTACTAGTTTAGCTGGTGCCTGATACTTCTCAGATTACATTAACTGACGTGTTAAAGCATCCTATTTGTTGAAGCAATAGCCTAGATTCACAAAACAGATTTGGTAATAGTAGATTAGCTAGGATTTTATGTAAGCTTTTTCCCCAAATGTTTAATGGTCCTTAAATGAAACAGATTTAATTGGTAGGTTTGTAATGTTTTTCATTCAAGCTGAGACAGTTCTTTGTATAGATTGAATGCCATAGCCTTTTTAAAACAGATTTGTTGGAGTAAAATTTCCATCCATAATATTCATCCATTTGTTGTTTGCTATTCCACTGAAAATGTATAATTTAATAATGTTTAGTGAATTTATAGAGCAGTACCACCACCATTACCATAACCCAATTTTAGAATATTTTTATCACCTCAAAGAATTCCTTATAAGCCATTTTGTAGTCAGTCTGCACTGCCAGCCCAAGGCAACCACTGATCTGCTTTCATTCTCTACACATTTGCCCTTTCTGGATATTTCATATAAATAAAATCATACAATGTATGTTTGCATGTGAACAATATACATAAGCTTTTATATATACAGCCTGCCTAATACACACAGTATTATAATCTTTTACACCTGATTTATTTCACTTAATATGCTTTTGAGGGTATTCCATCTACAATTATTGTCTACAATTATTTCATTACTGAATGGTTTTTCATTGTATGCGTATACCACATTTTGTTTATCCAGTCGTCAGTTGAGGGATACTTGGATTGTTTCTAGTTTTGTGATATTATAAGCAATGCTATGGACAGTTTCATATAATGTTTTATGTGGACGTATGATTTTATTTCTCATGAACTGAGAAATTCTACTTCCCTAGGAGTGGAAGTATTTGATTATGTAACAAGTTTAACTTTTTAAAGAAACCAATAAAGTTTTTGTAAGTTGCTGTATTACATTCTCACTTGTACTGTACAATAGTTCTAGTTTCTCTATGTCCTCACATACTATCTCTCTTTCAGATTGTAGCCGTTCTCTTGGATATGTAGTGAAATTTCATTATAGCTTTAATATTCATGTTTCTAATGATTTTTTTATATTGATCATCATGTCACATGCTTTTTAGCCAGTCATGTTTCCTTCTATGAAATGTCTGTTCATGTCTTGCCCATTTTTTTGTAACTTTGACTGTTTATCTTACTGAGTTGTAAAATCTTTATTTTAGATACAAATTCTTTATCAGAGATACAATTTGTAGATATTTTCTTCCAGTCTGTAGGTATTTTTTCATCCTCTTAATGGTATTCTTTGAAGTGCAAAAGTTTTTAATTTTAATGAAGTTCATTTTTATCACTTTTAATGGCTTATGCTTTTACTATTGTATTATACAAACTCTTTGCCTAACCCAACATTACAAAGATTTTCTCAGACTGTTTTTTCTAATTTCACACTTTAGCTCTTACAGGTAGGTTTATGGTCTATTTTGAATTAATTTTTTATGAGGTGTTAGGTAAGGTCTTAAGTTCCTATACCTATCTTAATTTTTTTTAGTTCCTTTTATTTAATTGTCTTAACACTTTTGTGAGAAATCAAATGACCGTGAAAAAAACGGTTTGTTTCTGGACTCTGAATTCTAGTCTATTAATCTCTTTTTCTGTCCTTGTGCCAGTATGTTACTGTCTTGTTTACTGCAGCTCTTATGGTTACTGTTTGCATAGCATCTCTTTTCTCATCCTTTTACTTTCAATATGTTTGTGTCTTTCAACCCAAGATCCATCCCTTCTACATAGCATGTAATTAGGTCTTGATCTTTTATTCCTTCTGACATCTTTTACATCTGCCATTTTGCAATTTGTTTTCTGTTTGTCTCATCTGTCTCCACCCTGTTCCTCCTTTTATCTTGTGTAAAATATTTTTTACTATGCCATTTTGATTCTTCTGTAGAATTTGTTACTTTTTCTTAGCTACTTTTTAGTGACTGCTCAAAGTATTTTATTTCAGTGAAATATAAACTTGGCTCCAATATATCTCCATTTCCTCCCTCTCTTTGTGTTGCTGTTGTTACCTGTTTTACATATATCTTATAAACCTAACAATACAGTGCAATAATTATTTCTTTGCACAATCTTTTGTGCTTTAAAGAACTTAATAAATGGGAAAACATATTTCATAGATACTTTTATTTATCTACATACTTACTATTTCTGACCTTCTTCATTTCTTCCTGTAGTTGGTGTGATTATCTGGTATCACTTCCTTTCAGCCTCATAATCTTCCTTTAGTTTTTCTTGTAAGGCAAGTCTGCTAGCCACAAATTCCCACAGTCTTTGTTTATCTGGAAATGATCATTTTTGAAAGCTAGTTTTCAAAAATGACATTTTTCAGTTTCATTGAAAATGAATGTTTCAGCACTTTGAATGTGTCATTCTACTGCCTTCTGGCCCCTATTATTTCTGATGAAAAATCAACCTTTAATTATATTGTTTTCATGTGCATGATGAGCCATTTTGCCCTTGCTGCTTTCAAGATATTCTGTTTGCTTGACTTATAGCAGTTTTATTATGATATATTTGGATGTGGATCTCTTTCTGTTTCTTATGCTTTGGCTTCATTGAGCTTCTTGGACGTGGCAGATTAATGTTTTTTATCAAACTTAGGAATTTTTTAGCCATTATTTCTTCAAATGTTTTTTCACTCCCCTTTTCTCTCCCTTCTGCTTCTAGGACTCTGATTACTTATATATTTGTATACCCCCATGTTATATAAAATGTCTCTGAAGTGCTGTTCATTTTTCTTCAACTGCTTTTTTCTCTGATCTCCGGATTGGAAAATTTCTATTGATCTTCAGATTCATTGATTTATTTTTCAGTCATGTTAAATCTGCTGTTGAGCCCCTCCTGTTAATTTTTCAGTTATTCTGCTTTTCAACTCTAAAATTCCCGTTTGCCTATTTTTAACTGTTATTTCTCTTTACTGAGATTTTTCTATTTGTTGAGTATTATCCTTATGATTAATTCAGTGTTTTCTGTTTATTTCATGTATGTAATGGTTGCATTAAAAATCATTGCCTGATATGCCTAACATTTGGGGCCATTTAGAGATAGCTTCAATTGACAGCCTTTTTTCCTGAGTATGCTTAGATTGACCTTGTTTTGTGTGTGTGTGTGTGTGTGTGTGTGTGTGTGTGTGTGTGTGTTTTATAAATTTTGTTGAATACTAGATGTTTTAGGTGATATACTATAGCAATTCTTGATTCTAATTTCTGCCTCCTATAGTGATTGTTATTATTTTGTCTGTCTGTGTAGTAACTTGCCTGGACTAAATCTGTAAAGTTTGTCTCCTTAGCAATGTCTGGTCACTGGTCTGTTTTCTCAGTGTTTTTTTTTTTTCTTTATTGGACTGACTTTCTTGTGTTTCTGCATAGCTTAATGTTCAACCAACAGTTGGTCATAAATTTTGCTTTAATACCTCAAACTAGGAAGATATTTGCTCTCTGGTAATATATCTGGATGTAGTCTAAGGAGTGTATTTAAAGATAAGGTCATTTTCAAGTATGCCATAGATTTTAGTTTCCGCGGAATCCTCTCCTGTCTCCTATTCAATACATGCATATGGGCTCTGTTGTCCTGTGTGGCTTGGATCCCAGGATATGTGGAGAGCTTGTAGATGCCTCATAGATATATCACTTCCCAGAACTCCCTATTAAATCCTGGCTAGAACCGGGCATAATGGCTCATG